CAAAATTTTCGTCTTTTTATGCTGATTTCAGATCTGTATCGGGTTTTGCGATTGGACGAGATCTTGATCACCCTACTCGGCGTTTTATGTCAAAAACGGGCGTTTTTCATGATTTTGCCGTTTCTAGGCCCAGATACCGTAGCGGGACGTTCGAGGAAGCTACCCTGCGATGAGGTTCTGTTCTTTTACACTAAATCTAAGGTTTAGAGCCTAAGCGAGCTTCGGAGGACCACACATAAGCACAAAAAAGCCCCTAAAGTTGACTTTTTTTGCTAAAAAACTTGTTTTTTTCTTATTTTTTTTGCTTTTTTAGTCATGATTTTGACCGACCACAGTCTCTGGGCTGAGTGAAATGTTGGTGGGGGATGTGACGAGGAAGGGGCAAACCAGCCCTGGCCCAGCGCAGCGTCTGGCGGTTAACGGGGCGACGCGCGGAGCAGTGGCGCAGGCGAGCAACGGTTCGTTCGAATTCGGCCGAACTCCGGACAGCACGTCCGAGTGTACCCAGGAGTGTACCCGAGTCCACCCGAGCGCCGCCCGAGCGCCGCCTCGCCAGGTGAGAGGGGAGTGGCGGCTGGCCGCTGCCGCTGGTCGCTCGGTTGCGCGCCAGCCGCCGGCTGCGTCCGGGATCGTGTGTTGTTGTTGCGACTGCGCCATTCATCAGCTGTTTGCCGCGCTGCGCGGAGCGTTAGTGTTGCAAGTTGTGGGGAGTCTTTAGTTTTGAGCATGAGGACCAGGAGGATCATGACTCTAGTACTTGAGTCACTGGCTACTGCCTTACCAGGGAACACCCTTTTAACAGTTGGCGACCTGCTGTCGTGCCTTGTCTTCAGGAGACAGGTGAGGACGAACGGCTGCACTGCAAAATATTCTTTTCTACACGGGCAAAGCAGACGCTGACGGCCTGCGTTGACACTATGCAAGAACTAACGGGACAATCCGAAGAAGAAGAGGCCCGTGGCCTTTGACGAGCGCTTCTCCTTTTCGGATAGTCTCGTAGTTCATGCGTGGTGTCAACGCAGCCCGTCAGCGACTGCTTCGCTCGTGTCTTGGACACCACAGGCAGGCTAGCTAACTCCCACAGAGCCACCGTCTTCGAAACGACGGCAACAATGACGGACTTCCTCGTAGAATATTTCTAGATGATGATCCTCCTGGTCCTCATGCTCAAAACTAAAGACTCCCCACAACTTGCAACACTAACGCTCCGCGCAGCGCGGCAAACAGCTGATGAATGGCGCAGTCGCAACAACAACACACGATCCCGGACGCAGCCGGCGGCTGGCGCGCAACCGAGCGACCAGCGGCAGCGGCCAGCCGCCACTCCCCTCTCACCTGGCGAGGCGGCGCTCGGGCGGCGCTCGGGTGGACTCGGGTACACTCCTGGGTACACTCGGACGTGCTGTCCGGAGTTCGGCCGAATTCGAACGAACCGTTGCTCGCCTGCGCCACTGTCCCGCGCGTCGCCCCGTTAACCGCCAGACGCTGCGCTGGGCCAGGGCTGGTTTGCCCCTTCCTCGTCACATCCCCCACCAACATTTCACTCAGCCCAGAGACTGTGGTCGGTCAAAATCATGACTAAAAATGCAAAAAAGTAAGAAAAAAACAAGTTTTTGAGCAAAAAAAGTCAACTTTAGGGGCTTTTTTGTGCTTATGTGTGGTCCTCCGAAGCTCGCTTAGGCTCTAAACCTTAGATTTAGTGTAAAAGAACAGAACCTCATCGCAGGGTAGCTTCCTCGAACGTCCCGCTACGGTATCTGGGCCTAGAAACGGCAAAATCATGAAAAACGCCCGTTTTTGACATAAAACGCCGAGTAGGGTGATCAAGATCTCGTCCAATCGCAAAACCCGATACAGATCTGAAATCAGCATAAAAAGACGAAAATTTTGAGTGCTATTACGATGCTGAACTCGAAAACTCGTGCACAACGACGGCCCCTAGTCTCCATGACGTCCGCCGAGGTTCCAGTGGCGTCCTTCGAGGTCCCCTTTGCGTCCCTCGAGGTCCCTGGGGGCGTTCCTCCAGGTCTCCTTGACGTACCTCGAGGTCCATTGAGGACTCGGTGGCGTCCCTCGAGGTCCCCACCGCGTCACTGGATCCCCCCAAATATTTCTAAACGGAGCGTGAGCGCCTGCAGTGTGGAGGGTAGGCCGCGCCGCACGACTCCGATGTTTAGCGCCTGCCAGACGCACGCGGCAGGCCCGTCGAGCGCCGCTGTGGAGCGTGTTGCCTACCTCGCGGCGCTGAGAGCGCCTGCCACACGCACGCGGCAGGCCCGTCGAGCGCCGCTGCCGAGCGGGTTGCCTTACCTCGCGGCGCTGAGAGCGCCTGCCACACGCACGCGGCAGGCCCGTCGAACGCCGCTGCCGAGCGGGTTGCCTACCTCGCTCCGCCACACGCACGAGAGTTTGAGGGGGAGGGGAGGGGTACACCCGCCGCTGGTTACCTGAACCTGCCCCTACCTCGTCCGGTGTC